CACCCAGCTTGGAAACTCTGGTTGATATGCTCTTCTTGGCAGCCGGCTTCTGGGTTCGTGCTTAAGGTTTAGAGTTTGGGGGTAAGGATAGGGTGTGGGGTCCACGATAGGAAAAGCATGCTGTGCAATATATGGTATCCCTTTAGTAGTGTTTTCGGTTTGGTAGCTTTCCTTGGCAAGAGCTCAGGCCTTGGTGCGATCTCTCGCCAGATGGATCGCTGTGTCAATCAAGAGTTGGAGCCTATCTACTTGCCAGGCTTTTGTTCGATGTACTGGCTCCGACTCATGTGCCTGCAGCCCAAAAGACCACATGTGAACATATGGAGCTTCACATTGAGGAAGCCGAAACCCCAAACACCGTTTGGGATGCAGGTACAGCCTTCGTGGAGAGCGGTGGCTGGGCCCTTACCTTCTGCCCATTCTGTCAGCCGTTCGAGACACGGGGGCGTTCTTCTTCGTCACCTCCCTGTGCGTCGCAAGTGCGACCCATGCCTACGTCATCATGAACCCCCGAGGCGAAGTAAGGAACTGTCTCTAGGTCATAAGAGGGATCTTCCACTTTCGGGGATTAAAGGTATGGTCATATGGGCTTAAAGATGTTTACAGTAGTTGTTTTTGGGTTATTATAAACCTTAAGTCCGAAAACCCACCGCAACGTGAGCCCCAGGCGAGGACGATTTTCCTGTGTACTCTGCATTCACACACACGGTCCGATTAGCCATCTTCGGGGACTTTGACCTCTTTGAATACCAGGGCCAAGACACTACCTTTGAGCAAGTGGAGGGCGAGTGGGCACCGAATGACCCCAGTCCGAAAGACTTGGAGCAGCTCCCTTATATCTACTTGCAGCTCTGCTTCTTCTGCACCGGGATTGGCATTACGGTGCTGCTCATGAACCTGCTACTCTGGTGCATGGTAGGCAAGTTTCAACCTGTAACCCTCCGGTTTACAACGAGCCCCTTCCCCACCTAACTGCATGTCAAGGATAGCCACTTCCGCCGAAAATGCAGGGGGCAAGGCTCATCTGTTTACCGAGCCCACAAATGCCCAGAACCCCACCTGAATCCTAGGCCACAGTAAATCACGAAACCCCGAACTCAGCAAGTGAGGCTGATTGCTATCCTAAGCCAGAACTACGAGATGCAACAGGATCGGGCACAAGGGCTCTTTGTGCAGGCCCGTGCGAGAATGCTGCTGGAGGCAGGTGCTGGGCTTAAGGTGCCGAGTTTGGGTTTGGCGTTTCGACATTAGGGTTCAACGTTCAGGGTTTGGGGTTCAGGGTTTGGGGTTTAGGGCTTAGGGTTCAGGGTTTCTTCTGGAGGTCAGGGTGCTTCTGAGTTGGGGCTCATGGAAACGGGGCCCATAGGGCTTCACAGATTGCACAAGTTGCGAAGAAGTGCAGAACTCATTCTGTCGTGATAATGCGATAGTGAATATTCATACTACTGAGCTACTGAGGCGGGTGATGGCGGTACATGGGGATAGTTGCTGGATGGTGACGTTTGTTATCATGCGCCCGAAGGTGCAATGCAGGCCTTGGATGATGGGGTGCGCCTGGCTCGGTCGAAAGCTCTGGGACCCTGCAGCCGAGAAGCCCAGCCGAGAAGCCTCGCCCTGTTACTGGCACCTTGTGAATATGGCCGAGATCTCACTGAGCCCTCTCACAATGATCATGGGGAGTCTTGGAAGGGCAAGGGTGTATTACCAGGAGAATATAATCAAGCGATTCTTGCAGCGCGCTCTCTGGAGCCCGGTCTCGAAGTACAAAGCTTTGGCCCTTGGCATTCCAGCAGCTTACTTTGACAATGGCAGAGCTGTGAACGTCTTGGGTTGCTTCTGGTAGTCTGCATTCTAGTCACTAGTCTAATGTAGGAGGGTTTCGGATCGAGCGCAGTGAAGTGCGCATTGCCGGTAGCCCCAGCTACGAGAGTAGCGATTGTGAAGCCATTGCGCTCGCCCGCCTGGCACCGCAACCTCCGCCGCAAAAGACACCGGGCAAGGGTCCGAGTGCTTAAATCGGCGTTGCAAGGAAAGCCCCCGAGGCTTCGGGACAGCTGCCTCTTGCAAGCTCACCATAGCCACCCAAGCCATATGGGCCGAGGAGGACAGCGGAAACAATGGAAGGAAGATTGGGCCGCAGAATGTCCAGCGCAGCGAAAGCCACAGGGACACCCGTGGCAACAAGGACAGCAGTGGCAGCTTTGGCCTGGATCCTGGCAATCAGCGTCCCCTTCGCGGAAGCAGGATGCTCCCAGGTACGATCAGATGCGATTGCCTCAGCAGGCTCAGTATGCTGCTTTGCATCAGACACAGCCCGAACCAGCCGATCCACGAGGACAGCTTTTGAACGAAGTTCAACGTTCCCTTACCTCGGCCAAGAAGGCGGACCTCAAAATCCGGAAGCTCAAGGAAGAGCGCACACGGCGCATGTTGCAATGGGAGATGTTCACCAAGAAGACCAAGTCAGACTTCCTTGCACAGAAGCGACTCTTTCAGAAGGATCTGGAGCGTATTCAGAGCGAGATTACAGCCGCTATGGAAAGCGGCCAAGGTGCCTCGGAGTCGGTCAAGCAACTGATCTACAGTGGAGTCCCAACTCCAGCGCCTGCCGCCTGGTTTGGTGCCCACCTCCACTGGCAGTCTCATGAATGCGGAGGCTGCTATGCGACTGCTGGCAGCTACTATGCAACACATGCCAGCTCAGGTCATGCAAACAGGACCGGCCGCAACGACCATGCCAGGTCCTATGCCACCACAAGTATCGGTGCCAACACCGACAGAGGCGCCGACGGGAGACGGAGCACCTCACTCAGCACCTCCTGTGGTGCCGACGCCTGGCCCTCCAGCACCTTATGTCGCTTCGCCGTCCCATCCAGGTACTGCCCCACCGCCAGCTGCAGGGCATTCTCCACATGCTGCGGGACCCAGTCCTGTGAGCCGCAGGACCAGACCGCCAGTCAAAGGAGCCCCTCTTCAGCCAGTACATACCACAACGCCGGGGACGATTGCGGACAAGCTGGAAGCCAAACGGCAAGCCATGAGACCTTTTGGCAGAGACCCCACAGCTTTGGGAGCCGAGCCTCGTGCCCCGCCCTCACAGGACAATCGTGGCCAGACAGCGGACCAACAGAACGAGCCGCCACATCAGGAGGCCATCCGGCCCGAGGCGGTCATCAACGACGACGATTCGGACATGGACGATGTGCAAACCACGCCCCCGCCACAGCAAACTACACTGGAGGGCATGGGATGAGACGTTGCTGCACTGAGAGCTTTAGGCGAAGGCCGCGACATTTGTTGCGTCTTCATAGTCAGTTCTGCCCTCTGGACAGGCCGAGCGATGTTGAAGTTGCTGGGAAACTTCTATCTGCTCAGCTCCTGATCGGAGGAAGCGGTCTTGACGTTGAGGATGCAACACTGTTGCCCTGGCCTTTGCGGTTTCACACAAAGGTGGTACATAGCTTCTTGCCATTTCCCCGCCGCTGTGGACTTTTCCCTCCTCCATGTCATTTGTTGGACTTGTCGTCCTCGGCAAATATGTGGTGGACTTTGCACATATTTTGCCCTCGCCCGGAGCTCCCTCATCCAGTGGTTGTAGCTGCTGCCCTTTTAGGTTACGTACGTCTTGGTTCGTCGGGGTGTTGCATAGGAGCGCTAAACAAGCGAATCGGTAGCTCTGGGTCGCTGGCCCTATGCACAACTTGCGAACATCCGACATTCATTTTCTTGCAGCCACTGCTTGGCCCAGGTGGTCTAAGGCACGCTGGCTCAGCAGTTTACGGTGGTCGATGCCCAGTGCCCCACAACCTTTCAGTTACAGCGCTGGGATTGAGTTTGTTGGAGTCCATCGTTTTCGCGAGCCTTTTGTTTCTGATCCGGCTGTGTCCGATCTTGGTTTTCATTTCTGTTGGGTTCTTATACCCCCTTTTTGGCGAAGGAGTTTAAGTGCAGGAGCGCTAAACAGGCGAATCGGTAGCTCTGGGTCGCCGGCCCTACGCATTACTCCAACTGTTCTACAACCCCCCAGGCTGTCAGGCCAGGCCTTTTTGTTGAAGCATCTTCTGACAGTGATCTGTGCTCCTTTTGAGGCACTCTTTCGCAGTTTGCTGCTGCTTTTTGCCGCTTTAATCAAGGCAATCCTTTTGCGCAGCCCAGGACGAGCTTCTCCACTCGGCCGTCTTCTGCAAGCGCCGACCGTCGCAGCTCCACTCAGGTGTCTGGTTGGCCTTTCTGTGGCCACGCCTGCCAAACCAGTTCTTGCTTGGCCCAGAGAAAAACCTGCTCGGAACCGTGCAGTGAACCAGCAGGTTCTCTTGCCAAAGCGTATGGGCACTTTGCTTCGGCTTCTCATTGGTGCGAGCGCCATCCCCGTTACTGTGTGGTCGGCACCTACTGGCATTTCGTGCTTGCGACATTACCTGCCGTGTCCTCACTCCGACTCAGCCAGTACCAATTTTGCCGAGTTGCCTGCAGACATGCACCCCCGCATGATACAGCCCGGGCATGTCGTCGACCTGCCGCCCATTGCCGGTGCCACACCGCCTTATCCGCCTCAGGACTGGATTGGCGTAATTGTATACGCGCCCTACTACCAGACCACTGCCTTTGGGTTGCAGGTCCAGGAACAGGCAGGTCTTTCACAGGTCCTTGACACGCTCAGAAGGTCCGACCGGCTTCCCTGCTCGGAACATGACTCACTTGTCCCAGTACGACCGCAAGCTATGCCCGGTCACTTGTCTGTGCTGACCTGCCCTTCAATCATTTCACAAGGGCACTGCCCACACTGTGCAGTCTTGCTCGACCTTTCCCGGGTCGGACGGGCATGTTATGCAGACATCCTTCCAAACGATGTCACTGTTCGGGACTTGTTCGAAAAAGTCAGGACTCAGCTCAATGTTGACTATGAGGAAGAGCCCTTGCATGTCTGGGTTGGCGAGGCCAGACATCCCGCCTCTGGCTCAGGGTCGCTCGCCATTGCTCATGGAACGTTGGTTACAGTCATGCGTGCTTTTGTGCGAGCGCAGGCCATTTACAGGCCAGAGGACCTTTTTCAGCAACCACGTTCGTGGGACCGCTTGGATCATGTTCCCAAACCAAGCCGTGCCCACTGTATGGCTGTCAGTCGCGACACACGCATCAGCCCCGTTGTTTTGGCATTCTTTCCCAGGTTCTACAAGGCAGACATTGCCTTGCAGGTAACCAGGCATACACCCGACAGTGCCAAAGTCGTTCTCGTCGACAACGATCCACCCTTGGACCTTCAAGGGGAACCTTGCACCCAGACCGCCGTTGTGATTCCGCGCAAACTTCCTGATGGGCCTATGGACTCAGAGGCTTCCCCGGAGCAAGATGTTGTCGCCTACTTTCTGGATACTAGTTACTAGGCTCCTAGGGGTTCCCCCTAGGTTGGTGGTTTCCATTGGGGCTTTGCCAGATCTTGTAGATATATTGTGCGCGGCAAATATTCAATTTCCTGAGGGGTATTGCGGAGAGCTTCTTCACGATCATATTGTGGATGGACTCCAGTGCCTCAAGATAGGAGTCACTGTTGATCTTGCGTACCGTTTGGCGTGGGGCCCCCCTGCAATTCAGTCCGCAAAGAATCCTGCCGACGTTGTCTCAGTGTCCGCCCCCCACGCACCTGATCGACAAAGCGAGGCTGCCATTGAGGGTCCTCTGACAGCTAGGCCAGGTCATGGGCACGCCCGGCCCCCAATCCCTCAAACGCTTTGGTCATTTACCCACACCAGAAGCTCATCTGGCCTTGGCATTGACACATCCGGAGGAGGAACTCGTTGAGTTTGTCAATGCAACACTAGTTGTGTTTGCACCTCGCTTCAAACACGAGGTCTACGAGCTTTATTTGCCTGTGCCCTGCGCGGAGGAAGCTGCACTTCTCGAAGTCGCGGAGGCAAGGGGTACAGACATGGGCCTATACTTCGATTGTCTGGTGCCTGCGCTTCCGCAGCCTG